AGCTTCCCGGGCAGCTTTAAGCTTGCCCTAAGGCAGAGGCAGTCTCCCCGGTATTCCATAAAATAGCTCTTTGGTTTTACTAATAAAAAATAATGAGCTTCCAAATTTTCCTTTTCAGTCTCTGTTTAATTGCCTAGAAACACAATGTACTTCAGGGCTCCGCCTACCGGGGGGTAAAGTCTTATTTTCATACAATCATAAAAAATCTGTTTAATTTTCCATTACGCTCATAGAATTTTTCAATAAATTTTAATTATCTTAACAAGTACTGCATTACCTAAAAAATAGAATTTTGGTTTAAAAACAATGAAAATAAATTTCAAGCAGCTATATTGGGGATATATTGGATATATTGGCGCTATATGAGAGCCTGGTGAGCAATTAAGTTTGTTTTAAGTAAAAGAATGAATAAAGCAAGAGCCCATTTAATCCACCAAGATTTTCAAAGATGTGGCTTTCTGGAAGGCTTTGAAATCTGCTAATCCATTCAGGACACCAAATACACCATCAGGAGATACCAGGTCTTTGATTTTCATACAGCATCACATCACTGGCAAATTTTCAGTGTTTAAGGTCCTAATGAGGCACACAGAGTAGATATTTCACAAATTTCTAAACGATTCTGAAAATCAGATGGCATTAGCTGCAAGTCGCTGATAGACATCTTAAGCCCAGAGAGGGCAAGCGAATTCCCCAGCTTCCTCCAGCCAGAAGGTGGTCGAGCCCCGGTGGATGTCCACTTCTCCATTCTGTGACACTGTAAAGCCTTGTTTGTTGTTGTTGTTGTTGTTGTTGGGGTTTTTTTGCTTTTCTTTTTTTTTTTTTTTTTTTCCCTAGCTTGCAGGGCGCTCTCTCCCTCAATTACCATTTTATGAAGCTTGGAGAAATACCTTGTTTGTTTCTATATTTTGGATTCTAGGATAAGTACTTTACCATATCAAAGCCAAATTCCTGTTGGTGTTATTCTCTGGAGCCTCTTTCCAAAACAATAAACTGGACATGCTATCCTAGGTCCTTTTTCTCACTTTTGTATTCTAGCAGCTGGATGCATCTGTGTTCAGGCTCCTTGTAAACATAAGAAAACCCTGCCCTTTCATTTGGACAGTGCCTCAGAACAAGTGATTTTTGTGACAGGGTTTATGATTTGGGTCTGGTGAATGAATAAAATTGAAGACTTAGAGGATTGGGCTGTTCTTACGTCTTCAATGTAAAATGTTTCTAAAGCCAGTGTTCCTGCTTCACAAACGATAGTCAAAGTGTGCAGCACTGTGATACCAAAGCTTAATGTGGCCAGACCTTGAACTTTCTGTCTCCATCCTACTCGCTAACATTTAGCGGCTGGAATACAAAACGGTCTGCTGAGGCTTTGCCTCCTGGGTGTCGGCAAGAGCAAATGCTGAAGGACTTTCAACTCAGTGGGCTTCACACAAACTATACCCCAGAGAGAAAATCTAAGCAGCGCTTCCGGCAGGTGCATGATGTGGTTCAGAAGCAGAAAACATTCGATTCATGAGCAGGAGGCACTAACAGAGAGGCTGGGGAAGGAACGAGGGATCAAGCCGTGACGGAAGCAGTAGTTTGCCTGAGTTCCAACGTCTGCGCTGCTTCACCCGCCATCTCTTCCCGAGCTTTGAGGTTCCAAACAGATCAGAGGGAGCAGGTGAGGCAGAGGGTGCGGTGCGGAGCAAACCAATCCCAAAACCTCTTGGGGAGGGAAGGAGGCACTGCTCCTTCCAAGGAGGAGAGAAGGAGACTTGCCTTTTTAGTTTTAGTAAGGAAGAGCTTTCCAGGACCCTGCGATTAGTTCAAAGTGCAAAAGGCATTAAGTGGGTGTTTTCTGATTTCCTTGCAGAACAGCAGAAGAAATTGGTGGTGCTGGCGTAGGGGTTGCAGCTGCACTGCTCTTCCTCTGTCACCTCCTCCTCCTTTGCCTCTTCCTCCCCCATCTTCTGCATCATCTTCTCCCTCCCTTCTGAAAACACACAAACTTTGTTGTTCTGAAATAAGCTTGGCAGAACTTGTAACGAAGTTTTGTTTTGTTTTGAACACACGGTGCGAGTAAAACTTAGTTTGCCTGTTGCTCCCTAACGAACCAATTTCCTTAAGTGACTGTTAGCTGCTAGGACGGGGTTGTTTACACACTGGGGAAATGGGCATATTTTCATGGATTTAGGGACCTCCTGGTAGTTTGTTTGCTCACCGGGGACCTTGGGCATCCTTTTAGGGGCAAAATCTTTGTATGGGAATACTCCGTGATCAGAAACTTTTCATGACCTGCCCATTTCATCACCCCAATGAAGACTATGGATGAAATCTAGGGATTTGAATGGCCATCCACACAGGACCTGCGGCAGTGAAGACGGAACTCCATAAAGTCAAGAAACATTCAGATGTACTAAGCGCTTTGCTTAGCTCTCAGTAGTTGGGAAGACAAGAATGGATTTAGCCTGGTGTTTACTCTTGTTGGCTACCTCGTTTTATGTTATTAATTTGTTTATATGGTGTATTAGTCCCAAAGCATAACTCCTTTAAGGAAAAGTCAGATTCGGCGATGTGAACATTGTTTTGATCCTTGTTAATACAGATCTTCCCAAAGGTGGTGTATCAGATGAATGAAAGTTGCTAACCATATTGATCCTTTCAGCCCCTGTGGAGGCTGGGACAAGCCTTGAGGCAGCCATAGCCCCTGGGCTTGTCACCTCTGGCTTCAAACAGTCTCATCAAATTACTACAGTGTGTTGTACAAATATTATATTCTGAGTATACTGATGTCATTAAAGCCCATGCTATGTTCTAAACTCCAGACATTTGATGTCAACAGAGAATAAACAAAAGAGTGGAAGCCCTTCCTTTCTAGTCCCACAAAACTGTATTCATACTGCTCAAGAGGGGAATGTTGTCAAAAAGTGTCCTGAAACTTTAGATTATTGTTATATTTTGGAATCAATAATAACAGCCTTTTACAACTTAACTTTTCCCATAAAAGATTACCCGTTTGAGAATTATTCTTCTTCATCACATGTATGTAGATGACTCATCCATTTGAATTGCTGCAAGTTATACAGCTGACTGTCTCCCCATTTTATTTCACCGTGATGATCATTCAGATCATCTAGATCATTTTGAAATCTAGATCATTTAGATCACTTAGAATTTTTCACTGTAAATGACGGTGCTGCTATGAATATCTGTATGCAAATACGCTGGAAATACTTGAGGGAAATGGTTGCCCTGTGCGGGGGTATACTCCTCCTAGGGTGTGTTTGGAAATGCGCATGCATACCTCGCTCATCTTGACCTCTGGAGGACACTACTGGCAAGTGCTAGCTAGAGGGGCCAGGGATGTTTCCCATTCTAAAATAAATATCTGGTGTAATAAAGAGTTAGCCATCCGAAACACCAATACCTCTCCTCTGGATAGACGGGGTCCTAGGTTGTGCATTTAAAAGTGAAATTGCGGGGCGCGTGGGTGGCTCAGTGGGTTACGTCTCTGCCTTCGGCTCAGGTCATGATCTCAGGGTCGTGGAATCGAGCCCCGCGTCAGACTGTCTGTTCAGCGGGGAACCTGCTTCCCCCACTCTCTCTCTGCCTGCCTCTCTGCCTACTTGTGATCTCTCTCTCTGTCAAATAAATAAATAAAATCTTTTTAAAAAATAAATAAAATAAAAGTGAAATTGCTAGATGCAGTAGACGTAGCAGATTCAAGCTCAAAGTGCATGTGAAACTTCTCCTCGTTTCCCCTGACCCATAGCAACATCTGGAAAGTTGGACGTTCCCTTCTGTCTGCAGTTGCAGATTTGCAGGCGCTTTCCCAGTCAGAGGTTCGCACGGAGACTGGGAAGGGAAACAGCAAGGTGAAGGTGGACTGGTCGCTGACAAACAGGTGCAGAAAGAGGCCATGTATTTACTTATCTTTCCAGCAGCAGATGCCGTCCCACTGTTAAGAGCCAGCACAAAGGGAACATTTTTTTCCCCCGTGAGCCAGCAGATGTGTTGTGGGCCTGGAGCTGACAATTGTGGTGACAGCTTCCTGACCCTGGGGTAACAGCTGTGTGGTGGCACGTTCCATCCCAGTTCCCCAGGGGCCTTGTTGTGTCAGGGATAGAGCAGCATCCCAGGTGGGCCAGAGAGAGAGCTGCTGTGGAGTCATTCCCAAAGGCCCTGCGAGGGGCCCTTCCTGTAGCCTTTCTGAGAAATTTGTATGCCCCTACGCTCCTGCTTCAAATTGCTTTCTGCTTCAGACATCTAGATTTGTTTTCATTATATTCAGCTGAACCATGGCTGAAGCACTAGGTTTTAGGAACTAGATATCTTTGTTTTTACTAGATTCTGCCATATTGCTCTTTCAAAATATTGGATCAGTTTCCACAACCATATATATGAATTCCTGTTTCCTCACACCCTTAACACCATTTGAGATTGGCAATTGTCAGATTATTACTAATTCTCCTCCTCCTCTTTCTCCTTATTATCCTTATAACTTGTCCCTCTGACAATTGTAAAATAGCAAACTGGTGTCTCTCTTTAAGTGCCCTATTTATTTGTAAACAGAACATTTTTTTCGTGTTTACTGTTTGCTTTCCTTTTTTAATGCTGGATGATCTCTCAAATCTATTGGGCTATTGATTTGTTTATAATTTTCTTTTTTTTATTTAAAGATTGATTTTAGAGAACGAGCGAGCAGTGGGGAGGGGTATGGGGAGAGGAGAGAGAAACTCAAGCAGACTCCATGCTAAGCACAGAGCCCAATGTGGGTCTCCATCTCAAGACCCCGAGATCAGGACCTGAGCCAAAACCAAGAGTCAGACGGTTAACAGAGGGAGTCATCCAGGTGCCCCATGATTTGTTTATAATTTTCTATGTCTGTAGGTAGAAGTTCGTAGTATCTCTGACATTCCCAGTCATTGGCTGGATGCTGCACAGGGGAGCATGATCTCAGGACAACTCCGCAATGAATTCCAAAGCCCAGTAGCTGAGGCCCTGGTCAGCCCTACCCTGTGTGGCAAGAAGTCGATGAGGCCCATTCTTACAGCTATGACACTCCTCCCTGCGTGGTTCAGACCTGCTGCTTCCACAGGTTTGAGGAGCGGCTCCTCTGTGTGTTCCCTGTCCTTTCCTTAGGGGAGAATGAGAAGAACAGAGCTAATGGGATCCCAGTGGGCCCCATTGCTGCAGAAGACCCCAACTGTAACTGATGCTCCATTCTCCTTCTGAAACCCCTCCTCCTTCAGCTGCCTGACTCATCAGATTTTGGTGGTTCGTTTTGTGGTATGATCCAGATCTTCACTTCTGAGGGTCCAGAGTTCTGATAGCCATTCTCTTGTCAGTTCTGGAATACCCCACATAGCTGTATACATTTAATTGTTGGAGGGGAATACCAGAAGGAGTCCTAGGTTTCACAAGTATTTCTCATTGCCCCCACATCGTGTAAAAGTCTTAACCTCATCTTAACAATCAAGTCCATTACTTCTGCTACTATTGTGACTCCCTCACTGCCTGCTTTTCCCTGGGCACAGAGTTCAAAATACACTGGTTGCTGGTATAACTTATAGTTCTGTAGGATTTTTAGCTGTGGACCTTAGCAAGAATGTACACTTTTAGGGACCAGGATCTCTAACCCTGAAGAACCCAGAGTTACAGGAACAGAAATCAGAAGGTCCCCCAATGAATCATGGGGAGCGATGGTGAGTGAGGCCACAAATACTAGCCCTTGGTTTCTGAGCACATGTATCCTTCCGTTTGGGGACAGATCACCATGTAGAGACGTTTAATGAATGCACCGTGCTGTGAAGAGTCGGGCTCGCTCCTTTTAGACTGTTCACTCAGAGCTGGCATTTTAGCTTCACCTTTAGGAGGTCATTCTTGTGTTCTATAAAAGGCGAAGAGCCTCCTGATGGCGTACTGTATAATATCACTGATGAACCTCATAGTCACGGGCCACTCCAGCCCCTTCTTCTCATCCAGCACTTAACATCAGTCTCCTGATGTGATGAAATTTGTAGAGGAGTTCATGCCCATGGATCAGGCATTCTGTTAGCCCCCAAATAGTGGTATTGGCTATGACTGTTGCTGTGTGGGGAGGAGAGGAATGTCCATATTCACAACTTATTTATTATCCCCGTGAAGTTGAACAGATGGTTTTTCTCAGGATAGAAAGAACTCGGTTTAATCAATTTATCAAAGTCTGCGTCCAGTTCACATCCCCGAGAAGTGGTGCCATATTGGGTATTCGGTTGTTGGTCCCTGTTAGTGATAAATTAGTAATTCGGAATTATCAATAGATCTGCCTTGGTAAGTGGGATTCTGTGCTGTTAGGTCCATTTATAGCCTCCAGCTCTATCACCATGACCACTCCACTCATGGGCTCATTATACTGGTTGTGGATGGCGGATGACAAAGCATGGCTAGAGATAACTGGCTTAGTCACATTGTCTACTCGGTCGTTCAGGCAAGTGGCTCTCCTGTGCTTTATGTTCACCTAGGGGAGTTAACAAAATAATCACATTCTGTGCCCACTTCTACATTACCTCTACATGCCTCTATCTGGAAGATGTCTCCAGTATTCCATTATTTTCCTCCAAGGCCCTTCACTGTCACTTTGGGTCATTTCTCCTTCCACAAAAAACACAAGTAGATTAACTCTTCACAGTTTAGCTCATTTTTGAAATTATCACTCTTGACTACATTTTAGGACCACCCCTGAATAATGGATCTGCAGTCATGGTTCATTTTCAGTTTGTACCCATATACCAACTTGATCTATTCATAGATCAGGTTCAGATACTTCCTTTCTCCTTCAGCTGGTTGTATAGGAACCCCATCTGGTCATTGGTACAAGTTGATGAAGGAGCACGGGTGCAGCTCTACAGGTAACACAAGGTCTGGACTACATGTTCATGGATGTAACTGGTACCCTCTGGCTCTGCTCAGGTTCATTCCCAGAGGTGCATCTCCATTATATTATAGACAGCTGCGTCTAGGCCTACTAGAGGTGGCGAGCCAGAGAGAACCCAGCTTATAATGGGAAATTCTAAAGGCATTGTCAGTTTGTGTCCCATGTTCAAGTGCTCCATCAGTAAGATATCACAAGATACTTATTTCTTAAGGGACTTATAATTCTCTTGTAGTTAACACAGCCCCAGAATCCCAGGGACCTACGTTGTGATTCTGTACTAGAGTTTGCCATAAGGTCCATACTGCATACTTTCCCACCACTGGCATTCCAAAATCATAGCCTTTGCTGGACTGTGTGGTCTGGGTGGCAGCACTGATCACACTATGGTTTGGACCTACTGCATGTCCTTTCCTACACCAGGAAACCCAACAGTCTTTCATGTTTCTTGGTAATTATTGTTAGGTGTGAATGTGTTCCCTGTAGACCCAAAAGGGTCTATCAGGCACAGTGTTTCCTGCTTCATGATGGAAGATGCAAGCTGCAGCCATTTTTGTTTTACTTTGAAAGGAATATCATGATACTGTCCTGATGCTAGAATCCCCCCACATCCTGCTCAGGTATGCAGCCCCTGAGTCTTTTCAGAGTTTATTTTCCCTTCTCCGGGATGCATGTATCTTACCAAGACCTATAGAAGACTAGCCACTTCTTTCTCACCTTGCCAGCTCTGCATGATGTCATTGGTGTTGTGGAACATTGTGACATTCTTTGAGATGTCTAGGTGGCCCAGATCTTTCAGGATTCCTGACAGAGGATGAGAGACTTAACATAGTCCTGAAACATAATCATGAATAAATATTGTTGTCTGTCCTACGTGAATGCAAACTATTTCTGATCTTGTTTTCTAATTTGAATGGAAAATAACCTGTTTACCAAACCAGTGGCTGCATCCCATGTACCTGAGACCTTATTAATCTGTTGTAACAACAATAGCACATTGAGGGCTGCAGCTGTAGCTGGGTTTAGTGCTTGATTAAGTCTGGCACTGAATACAATCATCCTCCAGCATCCATCCAGTTTCTGAAGAAGCCAGATTGTTGAATTAAGTAAAGATATGAGAGGGACCACCACACTTGACTCTTTAAGGTATTTAAATATTGAATTCATCTCTACCAGCCCCTGCAGAATGTATTATTTAAAAAATAATAATTTATTGATGTGAAATTCACAAAACACAAAATGTATTGTTTAAAAATGAACAACTAAGTAGCATTTAGTACAATTTTGTACTGGATGTTAAAGTATTATGCAATCATTACTCCAAAGTAAAACCCCTAACATATTAAGGCATTTCTCTGTGTATCCTCCTCCTCCAGCTTGTGGCCAGCAACAATCTGTGTTCTTTCTCTGGGCTTTATCTATAATAAACAAATAGAGTCATATGGTATGCAACCTTATGTGTCGAAGGTCCATCCATTCTGCTGTATGTAGTAGTTCTTGATTTCTTTTTATGGCTGAATAATATTCCATTATGTGTATATAAACAATTTCTTTATCCATTCCTCCATTGGTGAACCTTGAGGTTGTTTTCACCCTTTGGCTTCACTATTATGAATAGTGCTTCTATGAACAAGCATGTATGGATATTTATGTACCTGTTTTCAATCATTTTGGGTATACACCTAGGAGTAGAATTGTAGGGGCCATAGGGTAATTCTATCTTCAACTTTTTGAGGGACCAGAAAATGCTTATCACCAGTAGTCAAACCATTCTGCATTCTGCCAGCAATGTACAAGGGTTTTACATTTTCTACTCCCTCCCATTGCTGGTATTTATTTTCCATTTTTCTGATTCCAGTGATCCTAGTGGGTATAAAATGGCATCTCACTGTGGCTTTGATTTGCATTTTCATAATGACTAGTGATGTTGAGTATCTTTTCATATGTTTGCTGAGCCCTTGTATATCTTCTTTGGAGAGATATTAATCTAGTACTCAGCCCATTTTTTAATTTTATTGTCTCTGTTGTTGAGTTGTCAGAGTGCTTTATAAATCCTGGATACTAGACCTTTATCAGCTATATGTTTTGCCAATATTTCCTCCCATTCTAAAAGTTGTCTTTCCACTTTCTGGATGTTTTTTGATGTTCAAACATTTTTTTTTATTTTAATGAGGTCTGACTTATCTCTTTATTTTTTTGTGCTTCCCTTTAATGTCATAGCTAACCAGGTCATTATTATTTTTGTGTTAACCTCAGTACACAACAAATGACTTTCGCATAACTGTCCTGTCTTGTGTTTCTGCAAACTTATTTTAAAACTCAGTTTTGTTCTGTCCTAATATGGCATGGGCTCAATCTAGTGATCATTACCACTTTTGAGTGTCCTTTAAATAACCTTCTTTATTCTTAATGTTAAAAGTGTTGTGAGTACTTTCAAAGGGATAAGTGTAAGTTTCCAAGGTGTCCAATTTATTTAGAAGTTTAAAATCTTGGGGCTAGAAATATATATTAGCGGTCTCACATCTCAACTTCTACCAATGCAGTATTCCCTTTGATTCTGTTCCTCGTGGATGACTGTCACACTTGAATTCTTCCAGTGACAGGGAGACTAGTGCTTCAGAAGGGTTAAGTTGTGTTGTTGAACAGCATTAATTGTTACAATTATTTTTTAAATGTTATAAACTCAGGGCCCTGGCACCTGAGTGATGCAGTTGGTTAAGCCTCTGACTCAGTTTCTGGTCAGGTCATGATCACATGATCATGAGATCAAGCTGAGCACAGAGTCCACTTAAGACTTTTCTCTCCCTCCCCTACCCTTCCCCCCATCAAATAAATAGTCTTTTTAAAAAGAGATAAACTCTAACATTCCTCAACTTTATTCCATTTGACCTACTTTTATTATCTTAAACTATACAATATGAAGCTACTTTTTTTTTTTTAAGGTAGTGCCTTAGATATGTGGAACTATACAACATCTTTCCAATGTATTTAAGCTAAACAATTACCATACGAATAGCTCTTCCTCATTTCTAATTTGGATTCTAGATATTTCATCCTCCAGATCACCCTCCTCTAACAAAACTTCATTTTGTCAACATTCTTCAAGTGTAAGAGTCAGAATAAAACAAAATGCTCAACTATGATCAAAAGCAAGAAATGTAATTATCTGTACATCACGATTTTATTAATGAAACTCTGGTCGCTAACTTTCTTATTAGCCTGTTTCATGTATTGTCATTTATTTTTGTCCTAGTGACAATACCAACCGCTAAGGAGAGCTCTGTGTCTCTGCATGTGAATTAAAGTGATATTGCCCCATTCTGAAGTATATTATCAGGGCTTCCAGGACCACACAGGAAGGTTCACGATACCTTACAAGGAAAATGTACTATCTTAACATCCAACTGTGTGAAACATATTGCATCTTGGCTACAGAATGCATCCTATTTGTGTGTCAGTTTCTGATTTATTCTTTTAGGATATATATCGTCTTACGCTCACTCTCATCTAACCACGAGAATACTAGAATCATACTGTAGTTGCTATTTGTGTGTCTGTGTGTGTGTGTGTGTGTGAGAGAGAGAGAGAGAGAGAGAGAGGGAAAGAGAGAGCGGGGAGAGAAAGAGACTGGCTTATTTCACTTAGCATAATGTTCTTATAGTTCATCCATGTTGTAGCATATGTCAGAGTTTCCTTCCTTTTTAAGGTTAAATAATATTCCCTTGTAAGCATACACTACATTTTGCTTATCTTTTCATCTGTCAATAAAACTTGGTTTTTTTCCATGTTGTAGCTATTACAAATAATGCTGCTATAAACATGGGTGTACAAATCCTATTTTCAATTTTTTTGGAGTATATATCTGGAAATAGAATTCCTGGATCATATGGTAATTATATTTTAATTTTTTGAGGAACTGTCATACTATGTTTTCCAAAGCAACTGAACCATTTTGCATTCCCATCAATAATATACAAGGGTTCTAATTTCTTTCCACATTTTTACTACCACTTGTTTTCTTTTTTCTGTATTTTTTTTTTATAGTAGATGTCCCAATAGATGTGAGGTGGTATCTCATTATAGTCGTGACTTGTGTTTGCCTAATGATTAATGATGTAAGTGTTTTTTTAAGCTGATTTTGGATGAGGCTTGAAGGTTAACAGGTGTGATGTCTGTCAAAGACATAGCTGGTAGTGGTATTAGAATGTAAAATCATATGTAGTAAAGGAAAAGTGGGAAGTCACTACAATGATCCATTGGGCAGCTTTGGTGGATTAATATTCCGGGAATTCTCAGTTGCAGGAACAATTGCTTCTAGTTTCTATCCTTATCAACAAAAGACTTGAAGGGACTTATTCCAATCTCTGGTGAGAATATTCAGAATGAATCAGCATTTGAGTAATGTGTATCATTATCAGTATAAAATAATAAAGAATAGACAGAAAATCAGCTTAGGGCAGTGTAAAGCTAATTTTCTGTATGGGTGTGATAAGAAGCAGAGGCAGTTCTTCCTGTGCGATATATCAAGGTGATAATGTGCCCCATTAGGACAATTTGTTTTATATTTCTTAAAATAGATATGACTGAGAAAATGACAGATGGAGGTCGGGAAAAAATTCATGAAGTCCTTCACCTTATATTCATAAATCAATGACTTGGTCCCAGAGAGGTGGCTAAAAATATATTTCTCTTTCAGATGAAGGAGATTAGGTTGTGAAAAGAAGAATGTGTTGACTGAAATGACTGAGAACATCACCTCTGTCATTCATACTGACTACATAGCATTATGCGGAACACAAGGAACATGATTTTTCTTTCTTTCTCTTGTACCTTTCCAGTAACACACAAATCTCTCCTGTCTCCCCCCGTTTCCCTGTCTCCCCCTTTGTTTCTCTTGCTCCCACT